GTGTGCACATTTGATATATGGATGCATCACAGATCATGGCGCTCCCTGAGATTGTGCTTTCTAAACATCGTAATTTCCCAAAACTGAATAAATACCACACATAGCAACACAAAACTGCTTTGCTAGCTCAATCATGTTGTAACTAAGATATCTGCTGGAAAAAAATAATTTTTTCATGGACTGTTCATTGAGTAATGGAGTTAATACGTCTGCTGACTTGACAGTCATTTAAACTGGTAGCAGGTGCCGTGTCACATTTTGCCATGGTATTTGAACTCATTAGACTGACCATTTGTGTGTGTGCCTGCACATCTGCAATTTCAGATCACATCCCCAGACATTCAAGGTGTAAGTGCTGTGCAGCAGTGCAAAGCGAAGAGCTTCAGTGCAACTGCCAAGGAAGCTGTTGTGCTTAGATTCAGTGGGTTCCTACATGACACACTGAGCCATCTCAGCAGAGTATCAGAGACTCTGCAGAAGTCAGACATCTTCATTGCTGACGCCCACAGTTGTCTGAGCTCCACACATGCTGTATTGGAGAGTTACAAGACCAGGTATGGCTTTTTTATGATAATGTTTTGCTCAGTGTGCAAATAAATACTAGATACATTTGTGTACTGTAGTAAGGAAAAAGTGTAGTATAGTGAAGTGGGATTTTGAATCATCAGAGCAGGACCAATGATGAAAGCCACCCAGGACAGAGTGTTCAAGGGAGTTTCCCTGACAAGTGGAAGGGCCAGGTCCAGGGGTCAGGAAGGTGAAGATAGGGTCCTCATCTCATGTCAGGAGCAGCTGCTGGACAGGTTTATTGAGAGCATCAGGGACAGGTTCAAGGATGGCAGCTCAGATGTTTTGATGGCAACAAAGCTGGTCAATTTCAGGAAATGGCCACAGTCAAGAGAAGGTGAAGCAGGTGGGTTCAGCAGATCAAGCTCAGTGGACAGAACAACTAAGTCTATTAAGACATCACTGCCAGTATGTAACAAAGTTCTAAAACATTACCTTTTCATGTCTTTCAGATTTTGGTGATGCACAAATTAATGTGCTCACTGACCACTTCTTCCCTGTTCTATCGTCTCCTGAACACATCCCCGATGAGTGGACCCTGCTCAAAGCCAGACTTTACCTTGAGCCCCAGCTGCTGACAACCCTGACCTGGGAGGATGTCAACCAGCTTCATAGGACACTTGTCATAACGTTCTGGAACTGATAGACCTCATCCTCACCATCCCTGCATCAACCGCTGACTGCGAGAGGGGCTTTAACATCATGAAAGTGGTGAAATCAGACTGGCGGTCAAGCTTAAAGGCAGACACACTGTCTGACCTTCTGCTTATGCAGCTCTCATCTTCCAAATTTTTGGAAGTCACTAGCCAATGGCAGATGAGGTAAAAAGAATTTTAGGCCCCGCCAGTACTCATTTGTTTGGGACTGAATGAAGAGGGTAAGGAGTGCTTCGCTCAATATATCCCTGTCAAAGAGACAATTCAGTCACTATTTCATTCCCCCCGACTCAGGGTTTGGTTCAAACCTTGGTTTTCAAAAACTACTGAAGAAACATTTCAAAAACTTCCTGAAAAAATGTCTGGATTTTATTAATTATTAAACAAATGTTGCATTGCAATAAACATGAACATTACTTAAGTTATATTAACTTACAGTTCACAATAACAATAAAAATAAAAATAAACTTGTTAATCTCTTAACAGTCTGCATTCTCTAAATAATCTTATTTCTTCACTGGCAGTTTGTGTGTGGGAGGGAGATGCACTTGAGGCTGCATCACTTGGTGCTGAGGTGGATGAGGTGGCTGCAGTTACATTAGTAGGCCCAGGATTTGCAGAGGTGGAGGACAAATACTTCAGAAGTGCATCTAAAAAGAGGAGATACATATATTTGACAAACTGGGCTTTTACAATATATTAATCAAATAGCTGTTGATTGTGAAACCATCATGGCATAACCATAATAGCACCTAACATTACAGCCTGCCTCGATCTAATGACATTTTAAACACAGCAAGCAGCCAAAATATAAAAAATGCAACTGTAACATCACAAATTGGACAAATCTGAAATTTGGAAAACGTAAACTGGTTGGTAAACAGTGAGTGGTTTGTGCAGCAGCACACTAAACATTAAAAGAAAAGATAGGCCAATATATTCAATTATGCTGCTTATTCATTCCCCCAAACACTTTGAATCTTTCTTTCCAACTTTCTTTAAGATGGGAGCAACATTAACTGACATTAACTCTAGCTGAATGCTGAAAGTATTCCTAAATCAAGTGGCTAATGAAGTCGTAGTAACACTGACGTTATGTAGTAGTAGCCTAACTGCTAACCACTAGTGGCTAATGAGCTGACGTTAGCTTGCAAGTGCTTAAGTAACTGTAACTTACGTTGTGTTTCTACCATTTTAAATTAAGTGTTCATCACATCACATCATTACCTCGGTCTCGTTCACGTTTCTCCTCCTCTTCTTTTCTTTGTTTTTGTAATGCGCCCCAGAGGGCTTTTGCCTCTTCGTGACGATGGCACCCGACTGTCAATTTGTCACTCAGCAACATGACATTACAGAAGACGGCAGGTAGCGGGGGGAGGGGGGCGCGGTTAGGGACCATGGCGAAATTGATGCTGCCTGCCAAAGAGGCAGAAGGATGCCAAGCAGGCAGAAATTTAAATTAGAAATATTATTTCATTATTATTTAAAGACGTATGGCTATATGTACTGTTGTTGTTTTGTAGTGTATTCCTGTCTAATTTTTCGAATAGAATGGATGGCTCCGACATCCCATTAGTCCGACTGTCCGCGGTGCTGAACGGCTCCCAGCGGGCGTATTTCTACTTTGATGGTGTACCACGACCGGCTCTGGGTCAGCTGGGAAAGGCTTGAGGTGAAGCAGGCTCACGGGTTATGTGTTTGCCACTTTCTTTTTCATTTTAACCCACACCATGATCTTTTCCTAACCCTAACCAAGTGGTTTTTGTGCCTAAACCAGACCTTAACCACAGGGCATCATGATGATTTCAGAACAATGGGACTTCGGAACAATGGGTTTAATATGGTCGGAACAATGGAATGTCGGACCAATGGGCAGTTCCCCCTTGTAAGTACAAAGATCCAAAGAAACTGATGGCAGTTTCCTGTTGTAGATTAGTCAGGTAAGACTGTGTCCAACTATAAGTCCCTGAACACAAAGTAATGAATCTACAGGTCATATAAAAAAAGACAGAGCAAAAGTGGTCCTGCAGCTCCAATATGGCACTGTTTTTAAAAAGTTCCAAATTCATTTATTTGTTCAACCTCTATTTGAACTCACAAATATATTGAAGTAGAGACTTAATTCACAATATAGCAAAGTAAAATTAAACGAAAGTTCATAGGTATGAAGAACACAAAAAAGAAACTTAGATAACTAAAACTAGCACTTTGTGGTTGGATGCCTCTGTGAACTCGTCAAGTTGCAGTTACAGTTTACATCCATGTCTGTGAAAACATGGATCTCCCTCCCAGCAGCACAGAAACTCTATTTCATTAGCACACTTTCAGGGTGCACAGTCAAGATTAGTGTCACCAACTGTCTCTCTTTCTGTTCCTGAGACATGAAGAGCAGTGGCCAGAAAAAAAAAATGCAGAAAATTTTGATGTCACAGTGATGCTGATCTTTATAAAAAGTCATCACTTTACCATTTTATCCTATTAGACATTTGTGTACAATTTTGTTATAGAGTTTGAATTCCTGAGTTATGGCCAAAAACATGTTTTGTAAGGTCACAGTGATTTTGACCTTTGAACTTCAACCACCAAATTCTAATCAGTTCATTTGTGAGTCCAAGTGGACCTTTGTGCCAAATTTGTGGAATTCTTGACATATCGCATTAATAAAATGAGACAGATGCAAGGTCAGTGTGACCTTGATCTTTGACCATCAAATTCTAATCAGTTCATCATTGAGTCCAAGTAAATGTTTGTGCCACGTTTAAAGAAATTCCCCTAAGGTGTTCTTGATATATCGCGTTCACAAGAGTGCTATGGATGAGGTCACAGTGATCTTAACCTTTAACCACCAAGTTTGAGGAAATTCCCTTAAAGGGTTCTTGAGATATCATGTTCATGAAAATGAGACATTTATAAGGTAACAGTGATCTTGACTTTTGACCACCAAAATCTAACCAGTTTCTCTTTGTGTCCAAGTCGAAGTTTGTGTCAAATTTGAAGAAATACTCTCAAGGTGTTCCTGAGATATTGTATTCACAAGAATGAGACAAAGTCACAGCAACCTTGACCTTTGACCACCAAAATCTTATCAGTTCATTGTTGAGTCTATAAAGATGTTTGTGCCAAATCTTAAGATGGTCCTGTAGGAGTTACTGAGAATGGGACAGAGGAACAACCTGAACACATGATGCCTACAGCTATCGCTAGCACTGAGGCAAATTTATAAAGTTAGAAATAACAAAATAATAAAACCTTGACAATAGATGACAAAGAAGTTGGATCACACAATCAACTTATGAGTAGCTGACAGTGAAATATCATAAAATTAAAAGTTTGAATTGTTAAATGTTTTTTTGTCATAAAAGCACAGAATGTGATGTGTGTGTCTGAACTATTCTTAAAACAAACATATCACAGTGTGAACAAGCCCAAACATGCAAGTTGCTGACATTACTGCAGATATCCCAGTGGCAGTCAGATGTTATCCAAAACTGGTGTACACTCAGCTGTTTGCCAGTAGATTTCTTTTTAGATCCACTCCACTGAATATGACAGTAAGGGCCAATTTGGCCCGCAGGGAGCCTCATTGATTGGTGTAGTTGTAAAGGGGGGGTTATCTTGTCATCAATGTCAGCTTTTAAGCAACGATGAACATTGACACGCAGAAAGGTAATGGTACCGGCTTACCTGATGAGCATCCAGATCGATGATGGTAGCCCTGGAGATGCCTTCCACTCTGTCAAACAGAAACTGAGAAATGATGAAAAAAATGTTTGCTTTCTCTCTGAAGATGGCACATTTACAGTTCACATTCTTTTGGGGGGATTCTAAAAGTAAAGATCATACTACTTATGTGAAATTATATTTGAGCTGAAGTACAGAAATGTCCACAATAATCTGGTTAAGCTTGTACTCATCCTGTTACACCCGCATACATAATAACAGCCCACACACGTAATAAACCACAAACGTAATACAAATCTGCAGCTTTGAATGTAATAATCCCACAAATGTAATAAATTTCCCACAAACGTAATAGCAGCTGCCTACTACAAACGTAACACACAATTTTCCGCAAATGTAATAACTATTACATTTGCAGGAAATTATTACATATGTGGGAAGGTGAAAATCTAAACTGTAATAACTTCCCACAAATGTAATATGAGACTGAATAATGATCTTTGTGGTTGTTGTTGTTTGTTTGTTTACTTATACATCTGCCAATAGTGATGCGTGTGTTGACAAGCAACCCGCAGGTCGGGTGGGGCGGGTCAGAAAGTGACAGAGCAGTGTTCTGAGTAAGTTAGAAATAACTTACACAAACACACACATACACACACACACACACACACACACACACACACACTGGTCATTCCTTGTCAGTTCACAGAATTACTCTGTGGCAGCAAATATGTCATTTAATTGGATTTATTTTATTTTCTTCTGCCTCTTGTTAATACGGATTTCTCTGCAGCATCTGGCCTACAGTACCTGTTCAGCACCTCAGACAGCGGCGCTGCGGGATGGGTTGGCTCTCATAGGGGGTCAGGTGCAGGTTGTAAGGTTTTAAAAACCATGGTTTACAATAAGTTAATCCTCCTCCACTCAAAAATGTGTTTTCTTCTTGTTCCTACAGATGAATGTTTGAGCCTCACTGTGCAGAATGATGTATGTGCAGAGTTTGACATTCGAAGGCTGTTTTCACATTTATCTGCTGAAAATGCTCATATGATTTTAAGGGCTAGGGCTATGAGCCTATGTTGGTGGCTTATGTAGCCTATGTTTGAACCATTTAATTAAAATATGTCTGCATATCAAAAGCCAAAAACTTGAATATGTCGTTCATTCTTTGGAAGGGCTACAAGCATGATTTGTGACATCACAAATATTTTAGAAGCCAGTCATGGTCCAATGTTCAACTTACACAAGTGTGATGTGGAAACTTGAAGCCTCCAGTGCACATACACTGAGAATGGACTTAACAGTGAAACCTTTGGGATGAAGAATAAAATTGGCATATTGATAGATTCTAGCATTTTTAATGAGGGAGAAGGTGTAGATGTCATTTTAAGGATTTTAACAAGATAACTGAATTTTTTGTGGAAAAACTATATCATACATTATTATTCAAAGAGAAACATTTATATACGTTAAAACGTGTCTTGAAGTAATCTTTAATGATTAAATTATCATTTATTTTCATCAAAAAAAGATAACTTAATTGTGATGATAATCACAATTATTTTAATGATTATTATTATTACTATTATTATTATTTTTCTTTTAATTATTTCTTCCCCATATACACGCATATACAAAATCACACATACAATAATATAACTCAAACACACATGCACGCCCACAAACAGAGTTGTCTTGGTCCATGTTACTATCAAAAAGTACAAGGACCAGTCTTAATTCTTGAAAAATGTTTTCATTACTTCAAAAAATGAACGACATATTCAAGTTTTTGGCTTTTGATATGCAGACATATTTTAATTAAATGGTTCAAACATAGGCTACATAAGCCACCAACATAGGCTCGTAGCCCTAGCCCTTAAAATCATATGAGCATTTTCAGCAGATAAATGTGAAAACAGCCTTCGAATGTCAAACTCTGTACATACATCATTCTGCACAATGAGGCTCAAGCATTCATCTGTAGGAACAAGAAGAAAACACATTTTTGAGTGGAGGAGGATAAACTTATTGTAAACCATGGTTTGTAAAACCTTACAACCTGCACCTGACCCCCTATGAGAGCCAACCCATCCCGCAACGCCGCTGTCCGAGGTGCTGAACAGGTACTGTAGGCCAGATGCTGCAGAGAAATCCGTATTAACAAGAGGCAGAAGAAAATAAAATAAATCCAATTAAATGACATATTTGCTGCCACAGAGTTTTTCTGTGAACTGACAAGGAATGACCAGTGTGTGTGTGTGTGTATGTGTGTTTCTGTAAGTTATTTCTAACTTACTCAGAACGCTGCTCTGTCACTTTCTGACCCGCCCCACCCAACCTGCGGGTTGCTTGTCAACACACACATCACTATTGGCAGGTGTATAAGTTAACAAACAAACAACAACAACCACAAAGATCATTATTCAGTCTCATATTACATTTGTGGGAAGTTATTACAGTTTAGATTTTCACCTTCCCACATATGTAATAATTTCCTGCAAATGTAATAGTTAGTCATTGCGGAAAATTGTGTGTTACGTTTGTAGTAGGCTGCTGCTATTACGTTTGTGGGAAATTTATTACATTTGCGGGATTATTACATTCAAAGCTGCAGATTTGTATTACGTTTGTGGTTTATTACGTTTGTAGGCTAAGTTTAAGTTTGCGGGTATAACACATCCTTTAGTCAGAATCAGAAATCTTTCTTCCTCCTGTTTCTTGAACGTATCCTTTTCAGTAGCTGCATGTAAACCTAATAAGCCAAACCTAACAAGCCTTTCTTTTTTTGTACACTGTCTGCATTAACTTTAATTTGTAAAGCATGATGGTGCAACTCCATCAGCTGCAGGATATTGAACATTAATACAAAAGACTGCAATGCAAAGCTATGAAACATTTGTTGAACAGGAGCCACTGTGGTCATTGAGACGGTGCCAAGCCCTGCCCCTTTGTGATTATCCGTCAAGCTGTCAGAGCTAGCACGGAGCCCACATTGTCACTAACTGCAGTCCCTGAAGAAATATTTCACACTTTTGGAAAAACAAAAAAGCCATTTTAGAGAGAAGCAGACAGAGGGGTCCACAATATGTGTTTGAAGAATATATCCAGGATGTTTAACTCACTCAGAAGCAAAAACAGGTTTAAAAGATGAAGACAGTTTGCAGCTAAAGCCTAACTATAGGCTACAGATGACAGTGTAAAAGTGAACCACCACATAAATGGTGATCGAGACAGAAGACAATGAATATAAAGGGAAACTTTGCCGATATTTAACCAACTGTGTGTCATCAGAGTGTGTGCAGATGAACAGTGTTTGGCTTCCCCGAGTGCCGCCAGCCACTGGACAGACGGGGAGCTCCAGGTAAAGCCAAACAGCGTTCAACTGCATACACTCTGATGACACACAAGAATATCTGAAAAGTTTCCTTGTTTCCCTTCACTGGTTCCTGCAGACACGTGTCTTTATTCACTGTTATAATCATTAAAAAGCAAAGGCAGCATGTCTATACATTCAGTAGGCTATACCTTCAGTAGATAGCTAGCTAACCCAACACTTTTCAGGGTTTGGTTTTGGTTTTGAAATGGGGAGGAAACATATATCTGATGAGAAATGTATAACTACTTACAGCCTGCCCAGGTAACGAGTATCACTGATGCACAACACGCTCCAACTACTGCGTGAGTCTATGGAGCACAGCGTGGCTGTCAGACCCTTGCTTATTTGGATGATGCTACATGCTCCAGTCTGAGTTTGAGGTGGGACTAAGTGAAGGGTCAATGGCAGGATGAGTGAAACCAATCTCCCAGGTATTCAATTCAATTCAATTCAATTCAAAAAACTTTATTTTTAAGGCACATAGAGCAGCAGCATTACAAAAAGACAAAAGTTAGATACAATAACAAAAACAAAGTGTTAGCTGACAGAATAATATACACAAGACACAGGTATGTACAAATCTACAACATATAAAATATATAAAATATGTACAGTGTATGTTTAAGAATGAGAAGTGTTTCTTAAAAAAATGTTATCCGTGGTGTGTGTATGTCTATATATACATTCAAATTTGCAGTTTTTATATATTCACCAAAGACAGTGAATAGTTAGGTGAACAGGACTGTATAATTAGAATAAGAAATGAATAACAGAGTGGTTATAGTGCAAAAGAACAATGATTACAGTGGGAAATGAATATATAAATAAATAAATATCTAAACAGGGCTAAATGAGGTGGATCAATACTGAATGAACAGAAAGGACAAAAGGTTGTAGTGTGATAAGCACCAAAAAAGTAAGTGCACTGGAGATATAGTGCCTCTCAGTACTTTCTGGCTTTCTAGCTTTTCTCTGGCTCTTATGGTGGCCGGGAAGTGCAACACACATTAACAAAGTTTGAGACAAATTTACATTTCAGAAAACATTTTTACATATCATAAAACAAAATTACATTACCAAAACACATTTACCAGCCCCGAAACAAATTTACATTAAAACACCAACCGGAAAGGGAATGTACCAAAGACCAAAACACGGAAGTGACAACGTGAGCACCGAAGAGTTATTGTTGTTGTTGTCAGTGGAGTTTATGAAGATGTTTTGCCCGTTTTGTGGACAACATATGAGCCAGTTAACGCGGTTTTGTTTTTCGCGCAGTCGGTCTCTACAGTGCTTAAGGGACATGGACATGACAGAAGGACCAGACATGCTGCAGCAGCGCATACAATATTTTAATGAGGGCCACTCGTATGCTGTAATCGTGGACATGATGTCATATTTAAACGGTGTACACATCAGTTTGAGGTCTCTGAAAATCACACTGAAAGAAGCCGGGTTCTATCGTAGAAAGGATTACTCCTCTACAAACGCCATAATGGACCTGGACAACTGTTTGGCTACTGCATGATGTGGCAGGTACTCAGACAAAAGTACAATCTACAAGTGAAGAGGGATCATGTAATGAATTTGCTCCAGGAGCTTAATCCTCGAGGGTGCAAGAGGAGAGCACGCAGAAGGTTTTTAAGAAGAACCTACCACTCCATGGGACCGAATTATATGTGGCATGCTGATGGTTATGATAAACTCATGCCATTCGGGTTGGCCATTTCAGGATGCATCGATGGATTTTCATGTAAAATACTGTGGCTTGCATGTGGACCAACAAATAATGACCCAGCAGTGATCGCTCACTATTTCCTGTTATGTGTGCGAAACCTCAGTGTCATCCCCATGAGTCTGAGGACTGATTGCTGCATGGAGAATGGGACCATGGCTACAATTCAGTGTACCCTACGCCACCACCACAATGACTACTACTCTGGAGCGTCCAGCCACATGTATGGCTCATCCACAAGCAACCAGCTGATTGGGTCCTGGTGGTCCATATTCAGAAAGGGAAGGTAAGAGGCTTTCACAAAGTAATTTAATTACACTGCAAAAACACAAAATGTTACCAAGCATATTTGTCTGATTTCTATACAAAATATTTCATTAAGACACAATCACCTTTCTTTCTAAGCAGAAAATCTGTCCATGGGACAAGTGAAAAAAATCACTTAAAACAATTTAATATTTGCTTGAAACAAGTGTAAATTGTCTAAAAACAAGTTACTTCTTAGGTGATTGCGTCTTAATGAGATATTTTGACTAGAAATAAGACACTTTGACTTGGAATCAGACAAATATGCTTGGTAAGATTTTGAGTTTTTGCAGTGTACGAGTAACCTTTGATTTCATTCTTCAAACTTGTGTATATGCTTAAAATGATAAATTGTTATTTATAATCCATGTCTATAGGTGTCAGTTCTGGATGGATATATTTGCAGACCTGAGAGACGTTGGATACGGGAGTCACAAGCATCAGCGTCTGTTGAGATATTGCTTTGGTGATGTTATTCAGAAGGACTTGGATGCGTGCGTGAGATTGTGGAACAGTCACAGGATTCGCCCTTCCAGAACAGCATCATGTCCAGGAGGAGTGCCCAGTGAACTCTACTACATTGGTGATAGTTTATTTGTATTTGTTTTACTTTTATCTTCAATTTAAATAAATGCAATTATGTCTTCTGTTTAACATAGGTTTGGCTCCAGAGACTGTGGATTTAAAATTGAACAGGCTGAATTGGATGCCTTTCCTGAGGCTCGCCTTTCAATAGCTCCATGTGGGGACCCAAACATGCAGGAGTACTTGGACTTTGCCATGGAGCACAATCAGTTACAGAAGACAGAGTACTGGCAGTCTGCATAGGAACTGTATCTGAAGCTAAAAGAAATTATTCAGCTATGAACTGAAATTGATAAAAAAGGGAGGTTTATTGGCAATGGTGGAACATTGCTGTTTATCTGAACACAAAGTGTCTGAATCTGTCACCCACAGCTTCATTATTTTAAAGTGGGAAATAAATGAATAAAAATAATAGCAAAATGAGTATTTCACTTTTTTTAATAGAAAACAATCTCTTGAAATACTTGTTTATTTGATCTAAAACAGTGATTCACAAACAGACCACAGTTTGAGAATAATGGATCTAAAACAAGATCATCAAAATGCTGAGAAAAACATGCTCACATACCGTAGCGTTATAAAAAACCCTTTAACAATAGCAACTGCACCTTTAGGTCCATTACCAACAACAAAGAACAAACGTTTTTAGAGTCAGATACACCATGGTAATGTGGTTTCTCAACTAGTTACAAAAAAAGCTTACAAACCTTCACAATCAAGGAGATAGTCTGCCCAGTAGGCCAAGGTTTGACTTTCTTTTAGTCTCCTGTTACTTCCTGAAGGACTGAGGTTAGGTTTGAAAAGTCTCTCAAGTTCAAAGCCAGTGAGTTGCTTTTCTGAGTGGCAAAGGACAGGGGCCAGCAAAGTAGGGTGTTGCTGTAGTGCACTCGAAAACTTCAAAAATTTCTTACATGAATACATTAAAAAGAAGAAAATCACATCATTAAAAATATGATCTTACCTGTCAATTACATATGAGTTGCAGTCAATGATATACCATCGGAGGTAGTCTGCCACGATTTCTTTTCTTCCACAGCAGCCACATGTCTCAGACAACCTGCTGTCTGTAACATTGTGCTGTGTCTCATGATACATTCACACAGAGCAACAAAGCAGCATTCTCAATCTGAAAGACAAAAAAAAATTCTGTGTATACAATATAGGAAATAAACTGTCTTAAAACACTGCAGGAACTATGTAAAACTCTGTCCTACCACACTGTAGCCTTATGCTATTCTCACCTCTCAAAAAGCTTTCCCTGTTTCTTCATCAGTTATTGAATTAACTGCTGATTTGAATGAAGGCTGGCCTGCAAGATAATGTACAAGATCTTCTGACAGGAAATGGGGTCCTGGACCCCCATGTACAACTGACACTGTGATCATTTTTCCTGCCAGGTAGTATTCATCCTCCCTAACAGCTGTGAATGAATTCATATTACAAAATTAAAATATAAAATGTATTATATACTTAAAGATATTGAGAAAAAAAAAAGCATATGTCATGTGATATATGTCATGCTGGTTAATGATCATTAAACATATATATTAGATTAGATTGACTTTATTGTCCACCTCTGTGGAAATTTGTCTTTGGCTTCTCCATGTATTTAATGTACTTGGAGAGGCCAAAGACAAATTTCCATATACTTAATGATCATTAACCAATCATTAGTATAGTACACTTCTAACCCTATGCATACCATTTGCATTGTAGACCAAGAACCGATGTCCTTCTGGTCCATCAAAAATGGGCCGGTCTTTCAGGTGTTTCATTAGCAGAGTTAAAAATTCTCATCTGGGACCACCTGTGTCAATTCCCTCCTCATAAACTCCAGCATCATCAGTAAATTTGACCAGCATGTCACAGGTTTCAGAATATGTTGTACGCTTAAAACCTCTGACTGCTCCATCCCAAACATTAGTCTTTGAGATGTTGAACCTGCTGACTGTTTTGTGATCAATAGGAAGTGACAGGTTTGCCACAATGTCAGCTAGTGTAATGTTCTCCTCCCTGTAATGACAAAAAGTAATCTAATTAGTGGATATTCCTGACAGTGCACAATTTGCTACTTTTACAAAAATGATTTAAATACCAGAAATATTGCACAGTGAAAAACTGGAATGCCACAGTAAAAAACTCATTTTACACTGCTGTGTGTTGGAAATTCTCCACATGGACTGCAACCAGCTCCTCATCCTCAATACCTGGTGCATACAGGTCTGTGTTTTTACTGTTGGGAAATTACAATTTCCATGTTAAAACATCTTACAAACACAAATTTCTTCCCCATGAATTAAATTAAAATTATGTGTCACTGTCTTTTTTTTAACATACCTGTAGCAATAAGTCTTGTCTGGATTTGTGTTTCTGTATAACCACGCCTCCTCGATAAAGGCATAAAGTACTTCTTGTATAAAAACTACTACGTACCTTTCATCTTTAGGTTTGAGTTTGGGAGTACTTCGGTTTTGTGGTTCAAAAACCTGAGAGGAAATGCATACATTTATCAAAAATTTGTCACAGCTTCCATAATGATTCCCTTACAACATACAGTATAAATTAATAGTGAAAGGTTGCCAGTGTTACTGATAGTAATAAGAACTGCAAAATAATCTAAACAAGCCTTGTTTCTTTGTCCTGGTCCAGAGGTGCCCAATCCTGCTCTTGGAGAGTAGCCCTGCATGTTTTAGGCTTCAAGTTAATGATTAGAATCAGGTGTGTTAGAGTGGGGAGATACCTAAAACATGCAGGGCAGTAGCTCTCCAGGAGCAGGATTGGGCACCTCTGGACCAGGACATAGGTTTATGCTTAAAATCAAATGTATATCTAATAGGTAGATGAATAAATACATACATACATACATACATAAAAAAGTATTTAAAAAATCCACTAACCTCCTTTAAAGTGTGTTTCTAGGCATATATAAAAAGTGATCCTGGAATATGCCTTTCCTTGGTCCTTTTTATATTCTGCCAATTTGAATGTTTTTTCTGATCCAGGCACGTGGACCACCTCTGAGCGGTCTGGATACAAACGGACATACGGTTCTTCTGGCATTTCCTTGTTAAATGTTCTCATTTTCTGGACAGCTTGTTTCAGTACATCAGGTACTGCTACCTCTGGGTTTACAAATAACAGGAGTGTTTTCCCTCTTAGAGGTTTCAAATCAGTTCCATCAGTTGCATTTGGCACCATCAATCCAATGTTTATCTAGTAAAATAACAAAGATAATATTAATTTCATGTATTATACATAGGTAAAATAAAAGATTATACATACATACATGCATATATACATACATCAGTGTTTCCCATTAATCATGTAGAATGTGGTGTCCCTCCATAGTCTAATTTGTGCCACCAGTTTCATAGTTAGCCGAGCCTGTCTACACACTCTCCAAAACTTTATGCTGTTTTGCCCAGTTGTTTCAAGCAAAGCATCTCGCCCTGCACCAGAGCTGCTGTTATTCTGTCTAGAGTGCTATATGGTCTAAAATCTATGCAAAGATGCCTGTGTCAAAGATATTATTTTTATTTAACTTAATTCCATCTATACAATAAATTGACTATGATCCTGACCCACTTCTGAGTTATTTATTTATTATGTTTTTATGGTATTTCTATCTTCTGTGGACAGCTAGATCTCATCCTTTTTATTCTCATGGTTATATTACTATTATCGTGAGTGATTCATGTATACTGTTTTAACTGTTACGACTGTCCTCTTGTATGTGTATGTGATGTCTTGTCCCCCACTGCAAGCCAAATTTCCCCTCGAAGGACAATAAAGATCGGAATCTGAATCTGGAGTTTTCTCAAGTCTGATAGTCGAATATTGATAAACTAAGACAGTCAGCACAACTTACCTGGACGTGTTTTCTTTCTTTAGCCCTCTGTCTTCCTCTCGGCCCATAGTTAAAAGACTGTAGTTCTTTTGACTTTGCACTTCTGTACTCCAGGAACTGTTTGTATGATGGGCAAGGAGTTCCGTTTCAAAATAGAAAGTTAGCAGCCGCTAACCAATAGCTATAACTATTCACTTTCATTCACATACTTCAGATAGCTAACTTTAGTGTTACGCTGCACTTACTTGGTTTAGCATTATCCAGCTGTTTAACGTCAGATGTCCTTGGTGCATTTGGCCCTTCAGTCTGCTCTGCACCATTTAAAAACTCTAAACACCAATCACACGATAAACAAAACCGCGTCAAACAGCTCATGTCATTGCCACAAAACGGGCAAAACTTCACTTGGTCCATCTTGGTTCACCGCGCTCACCATGGATATCGCTCACGTTATCACTTCCGTGTTTTGGTCTTTGGTACATTCCCTTTCTGGTTGGTGTTTTAATGTAAATTTGTTTCAGGACTTGTACATTTTTTTTCTTCACTTGTAAATTTGTCTCGGCGCTTGTAAAAGTGTTTTGCGTCTTATTAATTTGTTTTCTGAAATGTAATTTTGGTTTATGATATGTAAAAATGTTTTCTGAAATGTAAATTTGTCTCAAGCTTTGTAAATGTGTGTTGCACTTCCCGGCCACCGTAGGCTCTTAGCACCAAGTTAATTGGATTCTTATAAAGATGTTACAAAATAAAACACATCAGTAAAAACAATCTCGGTGAGGAGCATGCCTGCGCATGCATTTGAACCCTTCTCAGGTGTGCTCAGGGTGCACTTCTCAAAGGCTGAAGTGTTTTAAATCACAAGTTTTCACTAAAACTAACTGTTTCCCAGACTAACTGTTTGGGAAGGACTAAGCACATGACTGGATAAATGAGAATTGGATTGAACCCATGAACCCTCATTCCTTAAATTCATTAAGAATGTTTACCTTTTTGGAGATTTTCTGTTTATTGTTTTATTGTATTATAAATTTTATTCACAAATTAAGGATAATGTGGTGAGTACTTGATATACAAAATAATAATTTTGCAGGTGAAATATTCCTTTTACTTTTTTATTATCAGCTAATTAGCCACCATAAGCTATAGGTCATACCAGACATACCAGAAAAACAGTTTTGTTTCTTTTTTCAAACACTTAAATTTGTCTCACGTTAAAGCTGTAGTTGATAACTTAAAAAAAAAAAAAAAACATATTTGCTAAAACTGTCACTATTAACACAGCACTAACTGAGACTTATAATATGTAAAAATATTATTTTGCCTACCCTGTTGGCTTGTAGCATTTCTAATGGCCTTACTACATATGAACAAAAAACCGAGGAGTCTCTAAGACACAGCTGTCAATCATGTCAAACACTGCCGGTGACCTGTGGTTAAACTATCAAACTAGGCAGCACTGATATAATGTGAATCAAGATTCTGTTACTGCATTGTCTATTTCTCTCCTCTAACATGAGAGAGGTGTTCCAGCAGGTGGGTGGTGCTTGGTATTTCGTTTAACTGTATCCAACATGGTGGCTGGGTCACAAACTCTCTCATTGTACAGCTTAACAGTCTCTAAACTGTGTTTCTGAAAGCATTTGGGGTGAGAGATACAGTAACAGAATCTGGATTCATATTTGATCAGCACTGCCTAGTTTGACAGTTGAGTGCAGTTCATGAGCAGTGACTGACATGACTGACCGCTGCATTAGCGACTCCTCAGCTCTGACTGGTTGTATTAAATGCACTGTGGTCTGATTCTGGTGAATTCCATTCGAAGCAGTAGAAAGAGGAGGAGGGACATGATTTTTTTCACAGATTATCTCTCTCATGTACTTATTTCAGAATATGGAGACAGTTTCAGTAATATGACATAAAGTTATTTTTATAAAAGTTACCAATAACAACTGCTGCTTTAACCAAATAAGACCTGTAACTGAGTACTAATAGTCAGGCTTCTCCTTACATGTGAAAATGTGTGAGTGAATGATTACAATGCGCTAACATTATGCACAACATTCAGTCTTACCTTGACGGTCAGAGTGATGTCTGCATAGGCACAAAAGCCCCCTCCCCTGTCACTAGAGCAGTGGTGGAAGCCTCCTCCTGGGAAACAGAAATTCCACGGGCTCAATATCAGGGCCATTAGACAAGCTGTGTAGGTCACTGAACATCTGAGATGTCTTTTATTCTAAGCCACCATCATTTAAAATGGTCTGTTATTGAGTTTATTGCAGCTGATGTTCCCCTGTGGTACAACAATGGCTGTATTGACACTAGAATGGGACTGTTCAATTGCTACTAGAATGCTTGAGGAGCAGCAATGTATAGGGATACAAATGTATTTTTTTCCCAACAAAACTGGGATGACAACCATTCATTCAGGTTAAGAGTTAGCGTCCCCTCTGCCCTGCTGTGCTCACGTTCATTAACTAATGTAAAGAGTAGAATGTTAATAAAGACCAGAAGGAAGACAGTGAAAAATGATTACCATTTATTGCCTGGCCTCAAAAAGCCTCTACATCTTCATAGTGTTGAGACAAACACTATGCAGATGTCAAACACATTTGAATAGCCTTGGTATCTTTATTAAAATCCTGTTTATTGATGCAGAACAATATATCAACAGAAGGTGTAAAGCAGCTGAGTAAGCAGGAGGGGGGTTCCCTGCTTGGCACAAATCATGGCAAGATGAATAAAGGATAACCCTCACAGCCAAAGATCTGCTATGCAATCAGCCACTGATCACAGTGGAAATACAAAAGTAACAAACCCGCCCCAAACAAAGATGCTATGAACTAGAATTGAGTTTTGTTTTAAAAATTGCAATACCAGCACCACTACCAGTACCCTTAAAGTGATACCAATACCAGTAGAGTACTTAATTCGATACCTATATTGAAAATTAATTGATGTGCAGTATAATCATACCTTGGAACATTTTGTTGGCATCTCAGCATGCTGAACTGTGTGGTGTATTAACTCTGTTAAACTAACTGAACTTAGTTTGCAACTTCTCCAGCAACAAGGAGAACCAAGTTAAGTTAGCACCCCAACGTCTAACTGTGCAAGGACCCGAACGACCCGCTTCCTCAGATCTGCACCTTCGGAACAAGGACACAACCACAGCTCTTTCCAGCCTTCCTCTGCCAGGTAACAAAAGCAGCACACCACAAAGTTACTCTTTCTTCCATAAATTCAAGTATTGTTAACGTAACAACTGGGCATAGTGTTATCACAGCTTTACACCCATATGGAAAAGATATAGATAAATCTTAAAAAGTTTTTATCTCTTTTGTCTGAAACTTGTATGTAATGCATACGACAGTGAAACCAGATATAAGATCCTTATTAAATTTGTACAAAATGAAACTTGTATGATTTGGGTACTTATAAGAACATTATAAGACAGTAATTCCACATACATTATCCTTAGTAGAAAAATGTAATATCAAACTTATATGAGTTGGACAATAATCAGTGAAACTAAACTCTTGTAAGTATTATAGAAAACACTTACAAGATTTACTTGTGGTGCCACAAATATAAAACAACATAATCTGACAATAAAATTGAAGGGAAAAGCATATGAGCTGACTGAAAGCAGGTTTTGAACATGTAATGACAATTGACTGTTAAATGTTGCTAAGTTTAGCATTTTTGCAAAACCAGGCATCATATTCTTCTCTCTAAACTAATTAATTTTCCTAAAATTATTACATGGGTAATATTGTTTAACATTTGAGGAGCACTTATATCCAATAAGTTAGGAAAAATTATTAAATCAACACAGCAAATATTCAAAATCCCTGTCGAATGTATTCAGTGTAACGCAGAGATTGAAAAAGACCATTCATCCCATTCTTGTAGAAATAGTTTTAATTTTGCACAAGATCAGCAGATTACATAAGTTGCACATTTACTTAAGAAAGAAAAAATGGCAATACTTGTTCCCTTTTTACATGACCCGAGTTCATTATGACGGTGCTTTAATAATTGTTTTACCACTTCACCACTATTCTTTTGGATTGTACATCAAAATACATAAATATTGGTAACATGCATTACAAAATGTTTCACATAAGAATCAATGGACATTTTGTTCACTCTGATATGTGCCATTTCATTTGTCACATTGATAAGTGTTGAGACATAAATGTTTCCTTTTCAGCTCAGAAACCCAAAATCAATAAGTGACAATCATTTAGTTAACATTCAATCATTTACAGTAATACGTGTTCAATAGCCGACACACAGTCAAGCTGGACTGTGGACACTACACTACATGTGGACCGCGGAACGCATCTGAACAAGGGGGGGCCATAATTTCAAGTCACGCGGAGGGGGTGGGGGGGCATATGCATTGAAACAGACAATATTACNAACAGACAATATTACTGATGTATTAAATAACGTTGCGGAGCACTTTTTTTATTCCGATGCCACACAGTCACATCTACAATATACGCATGAACACGAACACATGCTTGCTCAGATTAACCCCTCTGATCCCACTCTAACATTCACACACAACAGGCCAAGCCTATTTACACATAAACGCACAGATGAAACTATAGCAAACAACAAAGTACATCCAGTCCACAACCACAACCAAAACTCATCTTCTGCCTTGAATCTAAATCAACATCATATTCATTATCATCACAAGTCAGCATATCAGACTGATGTGCAGAGCTGCACGCACACACACACACACACACACACACACACACACACACACACACACCCCCAACAACAAAACAAGCGCAGCTGCGCAGTTACTTAAAAGTAACCAGAACGCTGAATTTCTGACCACTACCGCCGGCAACCGCAATGTGTATGTCCACTCCCGCCGGCTCCCGCAAAACTCTGAGAGTTTATGCCCGCACAATAATAGAGATGCATTGATTTTGTGTCTTCTCCCGTCCCGCAGGAGAAAACACGTCATTTTACAGGCTATTAATAAAGAGATTCATGGGGTTGTTTGTTTCGTTTCCCTGGTCTGCATGTCTTTTGACGCACCAGTCAGGGATAGCGCTCCTATTTCGTTGTTTTCATTTAGTTTTTTAATGAAATAAAGGCTGTTAAATAGCCTATAACCATAACAACTGTGTGACACAAACTCAGTGCTTTAGTAATTAAATAATGTCAGGCTCGGTTCAGTTTCGGACATAACAAAACAGAATGACTGTCGGTTTCGGACAGAAATATGCGGCAGTGCCGCACTCTAACACACACACACACACACACACACACACATACACACACACACACACACACAAGGAAAACTGGACAATATCATCAATTTATAAACACCCCCCGGACGCCCCAGACAGGACGTGAAAAGTGGATATGTCTAGGCAAAAGAGGACGTTTGGTCAGCCTAGTAGTGAATGAACACTGAAGGTCATATGCTCTTTACCATATAGTGACTGCACACCTCCAACAAAGTACACTAATGCCTCATGCGCATGATTTATCAGTTCAGCATTTAATTCAGAGCCCAACAGAATGCTTATGCCCTCTATCAGTAACGCCCAATGAGAGTGATACTTCTGTGGAAGTATGCCTTTTAAAACTGGCAAGCTATAGTACAAAAGCCAGTGCTGCCACTCATGGGCTTTCCAGAATTTGCATTCTGTTAGAGATCTGGGAACTCGAGCAACAATACCTGGAGGTTTAATAGACAAGAGATGTCTGTCCATGATTGCTGTTTGTCCACCAATATACCATGGTGCAGAAATGCTTTTAGAATCCATCCATAAAATCGCCATGTATCTGCACACACCAAGCAACACACAGTGCATGTAGTCAGGGACCATTCCATTGATTAGATCAAACAATGGTAAATCTGCAAGAGCAGATGAGCCCTTTATGCCCAATATAGTATTCCCTTCCCTTTCAGCTATTTGTCTTATTTCTACTGTGGTTTTATGATTTCTGTCACTTGGCTTTTCATCTGGACATGTGTAAACCCTTGTGCTTCCTTTTCCTTTCCTTGTTTGCATACCAGGGTGAAGGCAGACTCCACAGTCAAACTCACCATTAAACTGCTTAAAATTCTGTAGTAATGGCCTTGCTACTGCATCACACACACAGCACAACGTGTGCACTTTTTTGTGTCTCAATGCCTGATCACTAGGATGCTGCCACTCAAAACCAGCTTGAGAAAGACTGGCACACTCCTCAACAAATAGTTTAAAGAAGCAGGACATGTCTGGCTTTTTGGATCCAAACCATAACGCACATAAAAGTACTTGTTTATCTCTACTCTCAGGGGGTATCTCATTAACACAATATAATATTGGCCAAATACTAAATTTGGAGGACTGAAAAACTGGTACACCATCACAATTGAATGTAAGGGACAGAAAATCCTCTTTACTATTCGATTTTAAAGTCTGATATAAGGTGCCATCACATATGTCCTTTATTTCATGCCTACTACTGGCATCAGCAAGAAAACATAGATCATGCATACCCTGGTTCTCAAGAATATCTTTCAGCTGATCCTTTAATGGTATACTAATAAAGAAATGTCCTTCCTCTAAACTGGCTTTCACTGTTGTGAATGAGGAACGTGACACACATTTAAGTGTTTCTTCTAGAGATTGTGAAGGACCAATGTACTTAGTACAAACTCTACAGTAATGATGTCGTTCAAACTGATCTGTAATATCAGCTAATGGTTTCTCCAGAAAATACTTGCTTGTTGGAACTGCACTAGTCCCAGCAGAATGTAACTTGAGAAGTTTCAGCAGGTCTTCCATCAATACACCTGTAGTGTTGTGTCTCAATGCAAAGGAGATAATCGAGATGATGCTTTGCCCTTCCGTTAGTCCATGGGAGGTGTGGACTTCGTCTACTTCTTGAGGGACATTGTCCTAAATGATTGAAAAAGAAGCACTGCATTGAAACTGATTAGGTTTCACTTGTTTTAACTCATTACCTTGTTTTGGCAAACTGCACTTAGCATAGAAGATAAACAAAAGCCACAACATATGAGAAAGAAAACAGAAGAGGATGGATAGAAAGTGTACAAGTCAATGAACTGCAGAATGTGTCATGGTTTGTCCAATGATAAATGAATCTAATGTTAAAAAATG